CCAGCAGAAAGTTCTGGTTGTTCAACTCCTTCCGGACTTTGGTCTTGTTCGAGAACTTGCATACACATCCATTTTACAGATCCAGCTTATCTATATGCAGACTGTTGGTTCCGCACCTCTCAGGCAGATCTACTCTGATATTACAGAAAGGCTGATCCTGTCTATGTTGACCAGGTCTGTGGTAAGGAACCTGTTGCTGGGATGACCAAGGAACCTGTTGCTAGGATGACCAAGGAACCTGTTGCTAGGATGCCCAAGGAAGGAACCTGTTGCTAGGATGACCAAGGAACCTGTTGCTAGGATGACCAAGGAACCTGTTGCTAGGATCACCAAGGAACCTGTTGCTAGGATGCCCAAGGAACCTGTTGCTAGGATCACCAAGGAACCTGTTGCTAGGATCACCAAGGAACCTGTTGCTAGGATGACCAAGGAACCTGTTGCTAGGATCACCAAGGAACCTGTTGCTAGGATCACCAAGGAACCTGTTGCTAGGATGCCCAAGGAACCTGTTGCTAGGATCACCAAGGAACCTGTTGCTAGGATCACCAAGGAACCTGTTGCTAGGATCACCAAGGAACCTGTTGCTAGGATCACCAAGGAACCTGTTGCTAGGATGACCAAGGAAGGAACCTGTTGCTAGGATGACCAAAGAACCTGTTGCTAGGATCACCAAGGAACCTGTTGCTAGGATGACCAAGGAACCTGTTGCTAGGATGACCAAGGAACCTGTTGCTAGGATGACCAAGGAACCTGTTGCTAGGATCACCAAGGAACCTGTTGCTAGGATGACCAAGGAACCTGTTGCTGGGATGACCAAGGAACCTGTTGCTAGGATGACCAAGGAACCTGTTGCTAGGATGACCAAGGAACCTGTTGCTAGGATCACCAAGGAACCTGTTGCTAGGATGACCAAGGAACCTGTTGCTAGGATGCCCAAGAAACCAGTTGCTAGGATGCCCAAGGAACCTGTTGCTAGGATCACCAAGGAACCTGTTGCTAGGATGACCAAGGAACCTGTTGCTAGGATGACCAAGGAACCTGTTGCTAGGATCACCAAGGAACCTGTTGCTAGGATCACCAAGGAACCTGTTGCTAGGATCACCAAGGAACCTGTTGCTAGGATGCCCAAGGAACCTGTTGCTAGGATGACCAAGGAACCTGTTGCTAGGATCACCAAGGAACCTGTTGCTAGGATCACCAAGGAACCTGTTGCTAGGATGACCAAGGAAGGAATCTGTTGCTAGGATGACCAAGGAACCTGTTGCTAGGATCACCAAGGAACCTGTTGCTAGGATCACCAAGGAACCTGTTGCTAGGATGAACAAGGAACCTGTTGCTAGGATGAACAAGGAACCTGTTGCTAGGATGAACAAGGAACCTGTTGCTAGGATGAACAAAGAACCTGTTGCTAGGATCACCAAGGAACCTGTTGCTAGGATCACCAAGGAACCTGTTGCTAGGATGACCAAGGAACCTGTTGCTAGGATGAACAAAGAACCTGTTGCTAGGATGACCAAGGAACCTGTTGCTAGGATCACCAAGGAACCTGTTGCTAGGATGACCAAGGAACCTGTTGCTAGGATCACCAAGGAACCTGTTGCTAGGATGAACAAAGAACCTGTTGCTAGGATCACCAAGGAACCTGTTGCTAGGATCACCAAGGAACCTGTTGCTAGGATCACCAAGGAACCTGTTGCTAGGATGAACAAAGAACCTGTTGCTAGGATCACCAAGGAACCTGTTGCTAGGATGAACAAAGAACCTGTTGCTAGGATCACCAAGGAACCTGTTGCTAGGATCACCAAGGAACCTGTTGCTAGGATCACCAAGGAACCTGTTGCTAGGATGAACAAAGAACCTGTTGCTAGGATCACCAAGGAACCTGTTGCTAGGATGACCAAGGAACCTGTTGCTAGGATGAACAAGGAACCTGTTGCTAGGATGCCCAAGGAAAAGTGTAGGCAGGTCTTGACCAGTGAGTGGCTAGGTCCTGGGTCATCACCCTGTGCGGCTCAGAAACTCTGGATCTGTGTGGGCATATGACATGGTCAAGTCCCAACCTCTTCTACAATGTGATTCTCATACCACTATCCGCAAGCTGCAAAGAGTTTTTGTCTAAACCACCTGCCGCAGAAATCAAATTATTTTACACTGAGAACTGTAGTGATCCCCCTTCTCTAAGCCACACAGATGTTTGATAAATGGTGACTACAAACATATTTCTATAAAACAAAACAGAAAAACAAGAACTGACAACAGAAAGGAGTCTTCATTGCCTTATTTCAATCATACTGAATGAATAATTGTGTTAACAGAAGCAATGAACAAACAAGATGAGGTCATAACACTGCAATCAAGGTTATAAGGCTTTGGAATGCTAGTTATATATTTGTGTACACAGCTTTAGATGTATGAGATGAAGTGATCAGGTCTCTTACTGATAGCTTCTCTTGGTCAAGGGACTCTTGCTGAACCACTGTCCCACAATAATCCATTTAATGAGGAAGGATATAACATAGGAAACATACTGAGGTTACAGTGCAGATCTGATAAGGAATACTCACTAGAGACCCAAGATATAGTTCTAATCAAAAATTCCTAAAATCCATAGTTCAAGCATATTGTAATATATTGACAACATCTTTCTATATCTTCTTCTCTCTATATTTCCTCGTCTTCTATGCCCACTCTCTCCGATGCCAGCTGAAGATGGATGGCTGGTATTGATCACATCCTGCACTCTTTAGCTCTTGCAATAATTATTTTTATTTTTACAAAATCCCTAGAAAAAATTCTTGCAATACAGGAAGTACCCTGTCACCCTGGTACTGCCTGCTTGCTGGGACAGAGACAGGGGATGTCCTGAAGGAGTCCAGGGAAAGAGACAGGGGATGTCCTGAGGGAGTCCAGGGAAAGAGACAGGGGATGTCCTGAAGGAGTCCAAGGAAAGAGACAGGGGATGTCCTGAGGGAGTCCAGGGAAAGAGACAGGGGATGTCCTGAAGGAGTCCAGGGAAAGAGACAGGGGATGTCCTGAAGGAGTCCAGGGAAAGAGACGGGGGATGTCTTGAGGGAGTCCAGGGAAAGAGACAGGAGATGTCCTGAGGGAGTCCAGGGAAAGAGACAGGGGATGTCCTGAAAGAGTCCAAGGAAAGAGACAGGAGATGTCCTGAGGGAGTCCATACATCTGGTGGTACTCCTCCTGCAAACCAAATGTTCCACACTTGTGACTGCATTGACCGCAGCCCTGCAGCACTTGGTCCACATTAGGCTTCGGCTTTTTTCTATCTGAAGTTGTCTTTTCTTAATGTTTTATTTTGTGTCTCTTTGACCATGCACAACAGTCTTGACCGTAGAATGGTTTTCACGGCTCTTGTTTAGATGGGAAATAAGTTAAATTCTAAACACACACTCACACAGGAGTCAAATTCTATACACACACACTCACTCAGGATCTTCATCTGCCAATGCATTTCTGTAGGTTTCACCCCTTCACTGATTAAAAAACAAAATGGACATGAGAATGCTGTTCCTCTTTGGTGGATGTCAAAAGTCGGGTGGCCGTCTTTAAACTGTAGCCATGCACAATTAAAGTGCTACTTTTACTTTACAAACCTACATTACTCAGTCATTGTGACCCACTCCTCTTCTTGCCCAATATTATCAAGCTTGCACACATGCCTAATTGTGTCACCATCCAAAACCTTCCTCTTTTCACTCTGTGACTTTTAGCTCTGTCAAGGTTTCATGCAGGAGGTGCTTCTTGTCTGCAGCTACAATGAGGTTTTGGACTTTGCTTGCAAAGTCAGGTCTCAGAGTACAGGAGTGACCAGGGAATCTGGCCAACGCTAAACACTCAAGGAAAGGGCCAGACAGACCTACAATCAGACAGCTACTGGTACCACTGAAACTGCTGCTGTAGATAGGAATGGGGTGCTTATGGATAGTCCTGAGTGCTGTGATGTCAATTCTTGAGTCAACATTCAACATATTTTACATATATAAATTTAAGCTTTCAGTTTTCTTCTCTTTACCGAAAGTTGTCATGTTCTACCTGATTAAAAAAACGGAAATCACCAAACACTGATCACTGACATACTACTGACTGGAACAGTTTCAGTTACCACCAGAAGTAAAATGTCACGTATGGGTTAACAAATTAATTCAATGAATATTTTGGCATAAACAAAACATGGAAACTACAGACTGCTGTTGACTGTTATGTATCAAGTTAATGTAAATTAACTAGTTTCTTCTTTGTCTTCTTCTATCTTTCATCTCATTATGGAGCACAGGCTTTCCAAACAAGTTACGCAAGACCTTTGTAAATGTTTACATGACTGGTTAGTTTGTGCAGCTAAGTTTTCTACGTGACGATGTAGACTGCAACCTTCCTGAGCGGCCTGTTATGACATTCCAGATAGGTTATACTGTTAGAATTCTTGCAAGCATCACTACAGAGATAACTGCTGCTTCTAGAGCACTAGCATGGCCAATAGAGCAAACAGTCAACGTGCAGTAATTGTATCAGATTCCACGAAGTGCTTCGGAAAATAGCAACAGATTGTATGTGCGTAGAAAGAACTTGGCTTCCCTCACCTTGAACTATACATCTGGCCCAGCCGGTGTGAAAGTTAACAAATGAACAGACCAACTGGCAAGCAAGGCACCATGCATGGACAGAGCAGATGTCACCATCGCTACACGGACTAGGTTAGTGGATAATGATGAATTTTTTCATATTAATGTGACTTCCTGACCCAGGAGTAAAGCATGGTGAAGAGAATCTACGTCCCCTTTAAAGCCGAGATAGGAGACATTATAACCAGCTTCTCAAGGGAACAATCAGTAGAGTTACCTTAAAGTGGCTACTGCATCGGAGGACTCAGCACGCTTGGGAATGACCGATGTGCAGTGACATCCATTGTGATAACACAACATTCTTGGCTTCCCTGATAAGCTCTGGTAACAAAGGGAAAATATTATGTGGCTGAGATCAGGTCAATACCCAGGCCGCAAGGAATCTCGTTTAACTGAATCCTTCTTTTGCAGAGCTTTCCTCTCTTGGGAGAAGACAAACTCTTTCCTCACTGGGCTAAATTTGAGCTCCAAAATGTTGTTGACTTTGGCGACAATCTCCGCTGCAATGTTGTGATCTGCTTCAAAGTAATGCTGCTTGTAGTCGTGGCCATTGAGGTAGGTCATCTTGAACACAGCCCGGCCTGTGCATGTTGAAGACACAAGACATTATTGTTTAGTACAACAATGAACACATAAACACATCTATGCTAGTTTTGCTGCTGGGTGGTATGGGAATGTTAGCGCTGGCACATCTGACAGCTGCCTTATGCATTTTTTTTATTTTACTTTGTGTATGCAAGCATCAAGAATATGCTGGGACTATTAAATTTTCCCTAGTTTTCAAATGGGACAGAGAAAAGCTTGTTTTAATTGAAAGAGATGTAAATATATTTGTCCTTATTTAAAATGTAAATTAACTGTGTGGGTTTTGGGGTCCTATTGTAGGGTGAACAAGTATAGACCCACTGTTTCCCCAACAAGCATGTCATAGAGTTGATTAATTAGGAGCTTCCTTCAAAGTCAGAGTGCATCTGCCTGAGAGGGAAAAAAACCAACTTCTTCTGCCTTTCTAGCCCCCAATGGAACATAGGCCCTCAATCAATGCCAAGTGGTTCTATCCTTTGCTATCGCATGCAGCTCTGCCCATGTTTCTAACTTCATTCTCCGGCTCCCTTCTCCATGTGTTTTCTGGACATCCTTTATTCATATACCCCTGTGGGTTCCAATGCAAAGACATTCTAGGTATACTATTCTCAAATTTTCTCAATGTGTGTCCTATTCAATGCCTATTCTTCACCTCTCAATCCACTGGAGATTGCTTAGTTCTCTCCTAAAGGTCTACATTAGTGATTCTATCATACCATTTAGAAACCAACTGTCTGCACACAAATATATCAGATCTGTAAAATGGATGCGCATGCAACACACAGGTTCTGAAACAAGTCTACAGGCGAATGAACAACCAGAATTTACAGCCCATGAAAATGAAGAAGATAATGAAAAGAACAGTCAATCACATATGACATAGGGATTGAACTGCATAGAAGAAGAGCCAATCGGGGGGCTGGAAACCCAAGCTCTTATTATTAAATATGAATTGCTGGATTTTGAATTTTAAAAAAAAAATTAACAACACTACTGTCTCACTGTAAACAATGAATAAGTCACAAATCCAAACATACGAAACCAAGCTCTTATTTTATAAAATGAATTGCTGGGTTCTGAATTAAAAAAAAAAAAAAAAAAAAAAAAAAAAAAAAACACACTACTGTCTCACTGTAAACAAAAAATAAATCACAAATCCAAACATACCATTGCTTTTTGTCTCTATGATTTCACAGGCTGCAATACAATCTGCATCGTAGGTAAATGCTTTTTGTCGAAATAATCGGGCAGTTCCCTTGACAGAAACTGGATCAATTTCTATTTTGTCGCCACTGATACCTGTGAACAATAAAATGAAACAAATCAAATCCCATTCCAGCAACAATGACGACAAAAAATTAAGTAAATAAAAATTACATTTCAGCAACGCAATAAAAAAAAAAAGACAATGGACTCTTTGTGAAGCAGGGAGTTTTAAGAGCGGTACTAAATACAACACAAAATGTGAATTTGAACAAAGAAGACACAAACAATAGACTGCACAATTTATTGCCTGGCATATTTCGCTGTATCTCCTCAGGTGCATACTACAGTAACAGTTGATTAAAATGAAGCAAATAGCTGAATCCTAGAAACTTTTGTGTTTCCGTTTCTAGGATTCAGCTATTTGCGTAATCATTTCATCTATGGTCTCAGTATACAAATGAAATCTGGCTAGGCATTTCAATATGCCTCACGTCAAATGTTGAGCCTTTAAAAGTAATAAACTGATTTTTAACTCACTGGGGTTATTGTTCGCTTTGGGTCTCATTATTTGGAAACCTGGAACTGAAAGAGTTAACTCGGGGAATGAAGATGATGTAAACTAAACCTTTGTGTAAAACCTGAGAAAGACAACATACCTAACTAAACCTCTGTGAAAAAGCTGAGAATGAAGACGTTCCTAATCTAACCTCTGTGCAAACACTAATCTAACCTCTGTGCAAGCACTAATCTAACCTCTGTGCAAACACTAATCTAACCTCTGTGCAAGCACTAATCTAACCTCTATGCAAGCACTAATCTTACCTCTGTGCAAACACTAATCTAACCTTTGTGCAAGCACTAATCTAACCTCTGTGCAAGCACTAATCTAACCTCTGTGCAAGCACTAATCTTACCAATGTGCAAACACTAATCTAACCTCTGTTATAACCTCTGTGCAAGCACTAATCTAACCTCTATGCAAGCACTGATCTAACCTCTGTGCAAGCACTAATCTAACCTCTATGCAAGCACTAATATAACCTCTGTGCAAGCACTGAGAAAGATGACATACCTAACTGAACCTCTGAGGAAAAGCTGATAATTAATACACACCAAATCTGTGCAAGCGCTGAGAAAGATGACACCTAACTGAACCTATGAGGAAAAGCTGATAATTAATACACACCTAAGCTGTGCAAGCGCTGAGAAAGATGACATACCTAAATGAACCTCTGAGGAAAAGCTGATAATTAACACACACCTAATCTGTGCAAGCACTGAGAAAGATGACATACCTAGCTGAACCTCTGTATTAGTCCTCAGCTTGTGTACCATGCTGACAATGAAAGACTTGTAATGATGGCTCATCAGGGTTTCTGCCATCTTCTGATCCTCTTCGCCGTTTGACTCCACATCCCCTCTGGAACCTGTCGAACACAAACAATACAGCAATATCTGGCTTTTATCTTCTTGCCCTGAGAAAACCAAATATCTTACCTTTATGTGTTTTTAATGACATGACATCTTTAGGCATTGGTTAATATGCCTACACAACAGCCTCTGTACTTCTTCTTCGCATTCACCAGCTTGAAACTTCGGTGAAAAGTTCTCGTTGGACTCTAGTCTTGTTTCAGAAACTGAATGTTGGTTGTGTGCACATCCATTTCACAGGTCTGACTCATCTGCATGCAGTCTGTTGGTTCCTTGCCTCTCAGGCAGATGCACTCCGACTCCGAAGGAACCTCCCAATTAGTCGACTCTTATGACATGCTTTTGGGCAGGCAGTGGGTCTTTTCTTGTAATCCCCATAATGGGGCCCCGGAACCCGCACAGGGAGCTATGGTACTGATTGCAAACACACAGAGTTGTACACATTGTGGCTGTGATTATATTTACACACACCCACATTTTTTCAAATATTTATGGTGAAAAAAAAATTTGATTTATTTATGGTCATTGTGAATGATAACATCATTTTGCTATTGTGACATTCTCTAGGTCAAAGGAAATAATATAATAAAAAAATTAGCTTTGTGCAAAAATAATTACTCACAATACAACAACAACAAAATGCATCTTTATTGTGACATGGGGGTTGCAATGAGGCAACAGCTTCTCCCATCTTTTCTGTGCTCATAGGTTTTTAATCTGCTAGAATTTTTTTTTTTTTTAGAAAAACTGACCAAGACTCAGTTTCTTCTTCTCCTCCACCTGTAGTGTCTTGGGTAGCATTTCAGGAAATATAATGACATTGTGAAATTTTTTTTATAAAACAAATAAAAAATTTTGCGAAAGGAATAACATACATTCACAGCTTTATTGTTTGTGCCTATAGGCTAAGTAGGCCTCACTTTCTCTTCATGTGTGGGCATATTTATGCATGTATGTGTGTATGTATCTATGTGTGTATGTATGCATCTTGGTGGATGTATGTATGCATCTTGGTGGATGTATGTATGCATATGTAGCCATGTAAGTATGTGGGTGTATGTGTGTGTATTTAGGTATGTATGCAAGTATGCATGAATGTATGTGTGTAAAGGTGTAGGTAGGTGTGTGTGTGTGTGCATGCGTGCGTGCATGTGAGTGTGTGTGTGTGTGTCTGTCTGTGTGTCTGTGTGTCTGTCTGTCTGTCTGTATGTATGTATGTATGTTTGTATGTATGTATGTATGTATGTATGTATGTATGTATGTATGTATGTATGTATGTATGTATGTATGTATGTATGTATGTATGTATGTATGTATGTATGTATGTATGTATGTATGTATGTATGTATGTATGTATGTATGTATGTATGTATGTATGTATGTATGTATGTATGTATGTATGTATGTATGTATGTATGTATGTATGTATGTATGTATGTATGTATGTATGTATGTATGTATGTATGTATGTATGTATGTATGTATGTATGTATGTATGTATGTATGTATGTATGTATGTATGTATGTATGTATGTATGTGAGTGAGTGTAAGTATGTGGGTGTATTTAGGTATGTATGCAAGTATGTATGCATGTATGTGTGTAAAGATGTAGGTGTATGTATAGATGTGAATGTATGTATGTATGTATGTATGTATGTATGTATGTATGCATGTGAGTGTAAATGTTTGGTTGTGGGCATAAATGGGTGTCTGTACATGTTATTATATGTTTGTGTATGCATGCATGCATGTGTAGGTGTGTATGTATGGAATGAATGTGTGTGTGCATGTATGTCAATATGTGTATGTGTGCGTCTTTTCTGTTTGTATATGTATGTAGATGCAAGTATGTATGTATGCATTAGGTATGTCTGTATATGACTGTGCATGTATGAGAATGTAAGAGTATATATACATGTGTGTGAGTTTGTTTGATTGTGTACACATGATGTGTGTATCCATTATTCTATTATGCATATTTCTTTATTATATCCATAACATGCATTATTGATAACAGGCATTGGTACTCTGAAAAATAAGTGCTTAGAAGGGCCGACTGTCAGACGGGCCTGCATGCCCAATTTGCAACCCTTTGAAAATAAAGTTTGTTCATTCGTTCGTTCGTTCATTACTTGAGTGTAATGACTTAACTCTTTCCGTCCCAGGCGATTTCAGTAGAAACCCGATTTGGCACAAAAATCACAGTGAAAAAGGCAGCAGTGGACAGCTTTTGAAGATACAACATATACTGTGCGCATTTAAAATATTTGGCCAGATTTCTTTGGCATACTCAGACCAAACATAAATAATAACACACCATGTGTTTGTGTTGATACATGTAGACATAAGCTGAGCACACTTGGTGAGTTGATTGGGACAGAAAGAGTTAAAGAGTCCAGCTCTTCTACCCTCAGCCTCTTGCTTAGTATTGTCTTGTCTATTCTGTTCACAAACTTCAGTCCTGACTCTGGTTTATTTGCCAGCAAAGACACTTGGCAGCGACTGCAATAAATTTAAACTTGGGGTGTAAGAGTTGAACTGACATCACAGCACTCGGGGCATTCCCATGTGTGTTTTGTCCTCACCTTCAGCAGCCAGCGCAGAGTTCTAATATTGATGGTACTGGTCATAATCTGGTTATATGTTCGTCTTGCCTTTCCTCTGTGTAGTCAGCCGGCCAGACCCTCTGGTTACACCCAGGTCTCATTCTCTCCAGGCCATAATAATCTTCTTTCTCTACTGTTTTTTTTTTTCTTTTCAAATTTTACCCTATGTAGAAGAACCCTATGATTCTGTTTGTGTTCCCTTTTCTACCTTTGGGCGTAATATATATATATATATATATATTGTCTTGTTTAGCCTTTCCACTTCTGTACTGGGGTACTGAAACACTTTATGGTCAGGTAAGATCTTTTCTCTTCTACACAATGGTACAGAGAAATCTTATAACCTTACTTTATCTGACCAGTTATGCCTTTTTTCAAATTCTTAAACAAAGTAAGGGGACTCCGTGGTGAAGTAGTCAGGTCGTTTGCCTCACGCTCTGAAGATCGTGGGTTGGTTTTATGGCAGCGCTGTTCAGTTGACGAGTACAATTTTTACGGAGATCCCTGGGGATCATTGCCGGAGCTACAGAGGTCGTGCTCTGTGTGATGCTTTTGGCAGGCAGCTAGATGTTTTGTGAAGAGAGAAAGAGCCATATGGGATCAAACCCGGGGCAATGAAATCGATCCTGGTAACTCCTGGCAGCACCATTCTACCTAGATGGTGATGAACTATTTGTGCCTGAGCTCTGTTCACTCGCTCCCAAAGGGCTCTTATAACATCTAGCTTGTCATGCGTCAATTCATCACCAAGTGGTGCAGAACCAGCCAGACAATCTGCCTCTTCATTTCCCAGCACATCAGCATGATCTGGAGAGAATAGCCAAGGGACGCTAACTACCCAGTACCTCTGAAGCAATGCTTGCCACTCTGCACGGAGCATACCTGTCTTCACCTTTTTCAGCATACTCTGTGAGTCAGTGACAATCACGACATGTGTGTATGGCTGATTCTCAAGCCAGCAGAAGGCTGCAGTGACTGCCTTCACTTCCTTTCTCAGATCAGATTCTGTGGTATCATATATGAGGCTTTGTTGCACTAAGCAGTATCCATTTGCTTTTACTATGAAACCCCATGCAATTTATCTGCTTCTAAGCACAGAGCCATCTGTATGGATAATCACATCATCTGGGTGGGAACTGTCGTGAATAAGTGTTTGAAATTCTGATTCTGCAGCGCCTGCTAGCCAGTCCCTGTACTCACGGCCCAATGTGATTAGAACCTTATAGAAGTCTGCTTGTTCCTCGGACACTCTGACCAACTCCTCTGATCGCCCAATACTATCAAGCCAGCACACATGTCTAATACATGGTTTTAAAAGAAAACAGTGATAACATAAAAGATTAAACAAGGGTTACATACTGTTTTCTCTAATGAGATAAAAATCCAGGCAGCTCATGGAACCCAACGTGGCATCCAGATCTACTGGCTTCCCAATTTCGGACTTCATAGCCTTCTCCAGCGTGTAGTTCAAACCTGCTGACAAACAGTCCATCATTACAATCACTGCCCAAGCTCTGCATACTGTGTCCCTCAAACATCGCCCCTGACCTACCAAACCCTGCTTAGAAGAGCTGCCAAAGTTGAGAATCTATCAAATAAGATTAACTCTTTGAGTCCCAAGGAACGCATCATACGTTCATAGGTTCCCACCTAGAGGCCCAATGAACGCAAGATGCGCTGATTTTACATCTCTTTTGACTACCCCTTGGGCCTCTGATGCTAAACCCCCTGGGATTCAAAGAGTTAAGTAAAACATATGTGCATACTGAATTTCAACAAATTTTTAGAATAGTTAATTGTATACGTTAGTTAGTCGACAGATTATCCACACTGCACGCCGAACCACTCAGTCCATAAGTGCTCGGATCCCCTCCTCAGCGTGTAGCGGCTGATGACTCCAGTTCTGTGTTGGTTTATTCTTCTTCTTTGGCTACCCGCATTGTATACGTTAAAAACTATAGTTCTTCTTGGTAAAGATTCCACATCACAGCAGTCAGGACAGGCCCATACTGGCTCTGTCTCCCTCATCAACAACCAGCAAAATCTCAAAACTGATGGCACCTGTTGTCATCTGGTTAACTACTCATCTTGCCTTTCTCTCGAGTAGCAGCACTCCAAAGCTCGCTGACACGTTGTGCTTGATCAGATATTTACGGTGAAGCGGCCCAGTCATTTGTCTCATGCTCCAAAGGTCACAGGTTCAGTTCACGAGTGCTACTTTTATAGAAATCCTTGGGGATCATCACTTGAGCTAAAGTGTGTCTGATGCTTTCGGCGGCAGTTGGCTGCTCTGATGCGAGAAAGTGAGTTATTTAGTATACAACATAATGCAAATGAAGTCCATCCTCTTATCTTTAATCGTCTGCTTCAGTTAAATTTGAGTAAAGTAAAAATAAAATGCCCAATCCTTGAAATGATTACACCCGAAGAGAAAACTGTATAACAGTTTAACTTGAATATCCCTTCAAAGGAACTAAAGGGTGAAAAAGAGTTAGAGTTTTCACAATCTAAACATAATCCATGAACGTACCTTGTCGAACTTTTATCTTTCGCTTCTTGAGAACCTTCTCCATGAGTTCCCTCATGGTTATAGACATGGAGTCTACCTGAAACTTGTTAAAGCCCCGGTTCGGAACCGTTCTAGATGAGACAAAACAACAGATTTGTGCAATAAGTCTTACAGGCATACAACAGTATGAAACAATTATAAACTATCCAAGAACATTGCACAGCTATGGTGACCAGAACAGTAACCAAGATACTTGCTTTACCATGTTGTCCTTGAGAAAGCCATTTTACAGGCTTTTATGGGTTTTTGATATCACACAGTCTTTGGGCTGTGGCTACCATACTTATTCAGCAGCTCTGCTACTGGCTACATCTGATAAGTAACAAGACTGTCCATCCTCTTCAGGCCACTCCCCCAGCCGCCACCCCAACATGGCTCTTTTCAGGGCCCACCCCAAAATATCCCCAAATTGCATCCCAGTCCCTAAGTTCTCGCCAAGAGAAGGACAGATTGAAGTTGAACTTCATGGGTCGCTGAATGAATTAAACAAGGTAGTGAAGTTCACACTAGAGAAAACATTGCAGATATAGATAATCTATTTCTGGTGAGCGAAAAAAGAAGACAAAAAAACTAACCCTAATGATTAGGACCTTCCGGAAAACTCAGAGCTATTGAGATGGGGTGAAATTAAAGAACAGTACCCAAAAAAGGTTTAAGGTCATGGGTTTAAATTCTAAGTGGTTGACTGGTTCTGACTCCACAAATCTTATGCAGTGCATGAACTCCTGATTGGCTAATTTATTGGGCCAATGGAAATGGAGAGCACAGTGGTATTTTGCTACCCGCCACGCTTTTACTAATTCATGTGTCCAATCATATTCCATAATACACTGCAATACAGCAGACCAAGCTCTTCTATTTTCTTTCTTTATATTCCAAGATGTATTGCCTCAAAGCAAAGAGTTTCAACAAAGAAGTTTAATAAAACAAACACTTACATTGTCACAACAACCGACTTTGGCTGAACTGGTGCGTTTGCCACAAGTGCAAACTTTGTAAAGCCATATTTGGAGACTGGATCTGTCGGAACGATGGGAGGAAAGTCTGTGTCAATCTCTCCATCATCCTCGGCCATGTGCAGGGAAAATTTGTTGAGGAAGTCACTGTAGACAATGGTTAGGCTACCATTACACATATAGTACAAGTGTTTTCTTTGTTTTGAGTGGAGGACCACTTAACAAGTTACCTGTTCAATTTCCAGGCATGAAAGAAAAACAACTGAGGCAATTCTCCTTAGACAGGTGAAAACTGTAAAGTGATTAGAGAGATATTAGATAAAGACTCTGACTCTTTTCAGAAACAGTGCAAAGGCACAAACAGATTTAGTTAGTTAGTTAGTTGGGTTATCCTCCGGACATGTCCATAGGTGCTCAGATCCTCCCCTCAGTATGAACCCCAACGTCCGATGGCTTATAGTACCAGTTCTATGTTGATTAACAAGTCTTCTGGCGTGTCTGGTGTGCGTCTCGTTTTTTTGCTGTGCCGATCTTAATTCCCAAGTCTGCCATTCTGGCGAGTGATGTGGATTCACTGCCACCAAAGTCCTCTATCCTTCCCATTTCTCTGAGGGCATTGATAATATCAGCATGATCCATAGGCTGACCGTCGGTAGTGATAGCGGATCCAGCCAACTCTTTCCTTTCCATCGACGCCTGCGTGTCCCGGAACAAAAATAAAGGTGACTCCACGCACAGTGGACTTCTTTAATGATTCAAGCCATTGTCTTCGCACTGAGCCTGCCTGAACCCTCCGGATCATACTCATTGAATCACTGAGTATACATACACGGGTGTATTTTTGTGTTTCAAGCCAGGCAAACGCTTGCGTCACTGCACAAACAGATTGTCAGGGTCTAAGGAGAAAAGTGCTCGGAGGAGTGATCAGGGAATCTGGCCAAAGCTGAATACTCAAGAGAAATGTGACAGACATACAATCAGGCAGTTAGTGGGTGCATCGGAACAAGTATTCTGCATTTGCTGCTGAAAATAAGGATGCAGCACTTATGCGAAATCCCCGAGTGCTGTCATGTTTATTCTTAATTAAACATTGTTTTTTTTCTGAGCATGTGTTTCGACAGAATTGACTAAAGAACTTAGTAAAAACTAGCATGATTGATTGAAAAAAAAAATACATAAAAGAGAAGTCAAAGAGATAAATATCCTGACTGTTTGACCACATGGATGGAGGTAAAACAAGAGCAGTAATCTGATCACACAATTTTGGTCATCATATGAGATGGCAAAACATGACAGTTTACCCTTAATGGCAAGGGTATCTGAGGTACTCTATCCTTTTAACTCTTTGAGTACCAAGGAACACATCATAAGTTCATAGGTTCCTGCCTAGAGACTCAATGAACGCAAGATGCACCGATTTTACATCTCTCACATCTACCTCATGGGCCTCTGATGCCAAACCCCCTGGGACTCAAAGAGTTCATCTCTGCTGTCCCAAGTTCTTCCTCATTTGCTTGTTCTTCTTCTAGTTTGCCTTTAATTCAGTTGTGTTGTCATGTGTGGGCTTTTACTAACAATAATGATGATGTAGAGCAGGGCTATTCAACTAGCGGCCCGCTGGCTAAATCTGGCCCGCAAAGGCCTAGAACATGGCACGCAGATCACTGCCAGCTACATTGTATTAATGATCTTTCTATGCCGGGGCTCAGATCTATCGCCTGTGACAATCCTAATTTTCCTAAGTTTGGCCCCTGAGTAAACTTAGTTGACTAGCCCTGATGTAGTTCCTTCTGGTGCTCTAAATTAAGCATATAAAAATAAAATGCTCTGAGACTGAATGACTAATCTGTGGTGATTCAGTACACATTTAACTTCCAAGACCATGCACTCAGAATACATGGGTGAACTATACGAAACACCTGACACAACTGATATGTGAAACACCTGACACAACTGATATGTGAAACACCTGACACAACTGATATGTGAAACACCTGACACAACTGATATGTGAAACACCTGACACAACTGATATGTGAAACACCTGACACAACTGATATGTGAAACACCTGACACAACTGATATGTGAAACACCTGACACAACTGATATGTGAAACACCTGACACAACTGATATGTGAAACACCTGACACAACTGATATGTTCATTATGAAAAAAATGTAGGTATTATTTTACTGTAGATGTATTTCAGTTACTTCTTCTTCTATGTTCACCGGCTGTGAGCTCAGGTGAAAAGTCCTGGTTGTTCGTCCATTTAGATTTTGGATTTGTATCAGGGCCTGGGTTTTCTGTGCGCATCAGTTTTACTGGCTTTCTGTGTGCAGTTGGTTGTTCCTTGCTGCTCAGGAAGATGGGCTTCGATTCAAAAGAAGTCCCCAATTAGTCGACTCCTACAAAAAGCTTGATGGGCAGGCAGTGGGTCTATTCTTGTTTTTCCCACACTGGGGCCCCAAAACCACACAGGGAATTGCATTTACAGTGTGCATGTCATTCTACCACAGGCATATGTCATTCTACCACAGGCATATGTCATTCTACCACAGGCATATGTCATTCTACCACAGGCATATGTCATTCTACCACAGGCATATGTCATTCTACCACAGGCATATGTCATTCTACCACAGGCATATGTCATTCTACCACAGGCATATGTCATTCTACCACAGGCATATGTCATTCTACCACAGGCATATGTCATTCTAACATATGTCACTGCACCACAGACATATGTCACTGCACCAAAAGTATATGTCACTGAACCGCAGGTATATGTTACTGTACTACAAGTGAAAGTCAATTTACTACAGATGTATGTCACTGCACGACTCCTGTTTGTCATTGTGCTACATGTGCGTGTCATTTTGCTATTGTAGTTTTAATTATGCTACTAATACTTTTCATTGTACTACTGCTGGTTTCCATTGTACTATCGCTTTTTGGCCTTTGTAATTAAAAACATCTTGTGCAATATATCCTTGTCATTGAGAGTTAGAAAAAGAATTCTTGCTTGCTACATACATCCAGTTTTAACATATGGCTGTGAATCCTGGACAATCGGTAGGCAGGCCAAACAATTTTTAGAGGCTTCAGATATGTGGTTTTACAGAAGAATGCTTACAATACCTAGGACAGCCAAAAAGAGCAACCAAGAGGTTCTGAAAGAGGCGGAAGCCCGAAGACAACTAACTTATCACAGACACCAGAAGGAGACAGTCATCATTTTTCGGCCATGTTATGAGAAGAGGAAAAATGAACATGTTGTGACCACTGGAAAGATCTGTGGAAGGAGGGATAGAGGAAGACAACGAGAGAAGATGCTTGACAGTCTTGTTGCATAGCAAGGAGGTGTGTCGGCACACGAACTGATACATGCTGCAGGAGATCGCAGATTATGGAGAGGCATGATCGCCCACGCCAGTCGGCAAGGCACCTGATGATGATGATGAATGCTGCTACTGAAACCATATCAACGGGAGATATAACTAGGATAGAGAAATTGAAACAATGTTGCCGGCACACACACAAAATTCACTGCAAGCTTATAAAGTTAACAAAGAAGGACCTGCTTACTTAGGATCTATCTGTCCAGCGACTGACTGCAGATCTGGCTTCCTGCCCTCCTGTATATACTGCCAGCACACCAGCCCAATCACCTCTTGGGCTTTTGCATTTGCCAGGACAAGGATAGACATGGGGATGGACCTCTGTTCTGGAGGAGCAAACGCTAAAAAGATATCCAGTTTGCGTGTTGGAACACCCCCGGCAGTCTGAAAATAATGAAAATCAAGAGTTTTCCCACATAATGTTCTTAAATCAGTTCTCCTCTTATTCTTATCATTCAATGGGTGTACACTCTGGTGGAAAGTTCTGGTTGTTCATCCTCTTCTGGACTTTGGTCTTGATCCAGAACTTCAGTTTTGTGTGAACATCTATTTTACAAACCTGGATTGTATATTTGTACATAGAGAGTTGGAGAGAATGCCTTCTGATGCTATACCATACAAGGCATATACCAAAAGAGGAGAGGGATGTAGAGCAAGAGGCGGACCAAGAACAAGATGGGAAGATAACATCAGAGACACTCTACAGCATCATAATGTGTCTATGGTCAAAGCAGCCAGAAGGGCACGAAGCAGGACCTTATATTTCCCACCCAGCCGGAGCAGTGAAAGAGGACGTAAAGAAGAAGATACAGACAGTTTGTTCCTCTCCTCTCAGGCAGATGCACCAAACACTCCTCATTAGTCTACTTATATGACATTCTTGTTGGGGAAGGGACATCCCTAGATTCATTGCTATGTTGCAGGTTTAACACATTTCAGTACTCCTGTCCTGGCATTTTTACTTCACAGCAAACAAATGTTTAGCCAGCTCTGTACATACATGATTTTAGGATGACTATAAATTACTCTGCCACAAAACTTGACATTACCACACACACACAGACCTTACTTATCTCTGCCATGAACTTCATATTTTCAAACTCCATACTTTGCCATGCCATCTAATTCAAACTATACTTTAGAACTTACGTTGCACACAACCTGAAAATTGCACTCTGATCTTTTTTTGCTATAAATGTTTACAAGTTGCACTTGAAACGTTGTTGTTGTTTGTCCATCACAAGGGATGAGGACCACTCTTTCTTTCATCCATCATGACAATAAAGTTGATTGTCTGTGAGTCTAGAGGTGACTTATAAGCCCAATATGGACCCAAAAGGATCTAGGACAATAAAGTCACCGCCCATCTTCCAGATCTGCAAAATGACTGGGCATACAAAACTCAAGTTCTGGAACAAGGCTTAATTTCAGATGTAGACAATCAATAAGAACTTTCTTCCAGAGTTTACAGCCGCTAAATGCGAAGAAGACAAGAAGAAACTTGATACAGTCCAAACCGCTTAAGGCGATCTCAGATGTGAATTCCTGTTGTGAAAAACAATTTATTCATCCCGAACAATGCTTTTTGCTTCAACTCTTATCTGGATAAGAGGAATTTCTGATAAGAGGAACTATTTCTTGGGTCCTCTGTGAGTTCTCCTTATCACGTCTGCAATAAGAGGAATTTCTGATAAGAGGAACTATTTTTTGGGTCCTTTGTGAGTTCTCCTTATCACGTCTGCACTGTACAGTTACACTTGGACCTTATAAGATTAATGTGTATCCTGAACAAACAACCAGAACTTTCTCTCAGAGCTGACAGCCAGTAAACAAGAAGAAGAAACTGGATACAATCACATGTGAACCTTACCCTGCCATCAAACTTGGCGTATTTGAAGAATGGGTTACTGCCATGCTCTTCTATCTCCTTTAACTGTTGGCTAAGGACAGAGACAACTTTGGTTTTCTTTGTCTTCCCTGCAGGCTCCCCTTGCTCCATGTTCTCAGAACCATTTTCTACTGCTCTTTCATTGGATGGACTAGTATTTTCTATGTTCTTGGCTGGGGGAAGCTCCTTTTTCTCAAACAAATGTCCCTTTTCCTCTGCTGCAATACAAGCAATGGTAAATTATCATCACTTTATTGGCAAGAAATTAGGCTAGATCATTAGAACACAGAGGTTATCCTATAGGTACCTAAAGATAGATCTGAAAGGTGGGTGTATGGGTGCATGTGTGTGGGTTGGGGGTGGATATTTGTGTGTGTTATGTGTGTGTGTGTGTGTGTGTGTGTGTGTGTGAGAGAGAGAGAGAGAGAGAGAGAGAGAGAGAGAGAGCAGGGGGGGGGGGTGGAGAGAAGATCCACTTTCTTCTCCTACTCTAGCCGTGTACTGCCTTTCATCATCAGGTTTGAACGGGTGAGAGTCTTGGTATTTGCTGTGGGGGTGCTCATATTTATGGCCTCAGATATTCCATCTACTCATCGTTTGCATGGTCGACCTCTGGATCTGCTTCCATTAAGTCAATTAGTGAACAGTTATGTGGAAGCTGCAAAGATATGGTTTTGTAGATGAATTATGAGAACATCATAGACAGACAAAAACAACAAATCATAATGAAGATATCCTGAAAGAATTTAACTCATGAAAAGATCTGACCACTGTTGTGTGCTAACTGGGCATTTATGCCAGAGGTCAGAGTGTGTGAAAGTTCACATAACTATTCATGATATGAGCGACCTAAGTGGGAAGTGAGCATTGATACTTGGGCCACTAAAAGAGTGTGGAAGTCATGTTGTCTGAGATTTACAGATTGCATGAGTATGGCCAGACCCGCGTGAGAGTGACCGCTGGTAGATGATCCCATGGGAGTCTAAGTTAGTTGCCTTCAGTCAGTAAAAGAGTTAGGAAACTTATTCATGTTTTGTGCTGTTCTAATCATGTTTTATTCTGTTGGGGCATCTGCACAGTTTAGTTGAATTTGGTGTATTAGAAAATGGAGTTATCAATGTTTTAGTATAGATATATGTCGGAGGACGGAGTAAGTGTTGGCCCGTGTATGGTGGGGTCAGCATTGGTGCATCCATGTGTCGTCACTCTGGTTGACATGCGGTAACTGTGTGTTGAACTCAGTGTGAGTGGTGATGGGGAGTTATCAGAGGATACTTCCAGGTGTGACTAAGTATTAGACAAAGTTCTGGATTTTATTCACCAATTTGGTGCAACTACCTAAAGCCCTCAAATGGCGATCTCTCTGGAATAGAGTCCCCAGAGGACGATCATGGCCATCAGTGAGAAGTGGATTCTGCATGATTGGACAGGACGTGCCCGTAGCAGCCATCAGGACATAGAGTGCAAAGATGTATTGTGTTCTGTCTAGTTGTGGATACTGGGCAGAACTATTCGGACTTTTCTCCTGTGTAGTGTGCTAGCAGAGCATACTTGAACGTACTTTTTCAGGTGCGAACCTTGTTGGTTACAGTCATCAAGTGGCTGATTGAGAACTGTGTCAGTCTTTGTGCCGGAGTAGTGTGCTAGCAGAGCATACTTGATTCGTACTTGTTTTGGGTGCAAACCCTCTGGTTTACAGACGCCAAATGGTTGACTGAGAACTGTTCAGACTTTGTTCGGGTATTTATTGAGTCCGTGATCCATTAGTTAATCCAGAACGACCGAGAAACTACATGTTATCTCACATCACCAATTCATTGTCATCATGTGTTCGTCCACAATAAAGAGACAAACTTCACTGGTAATTCATACTTTTAGTTATTTATTATAATTTCGTTAAACAGTTACTGGTTTCTCAGAGACTCAACTAGTGCTAGACCCAGAAAGGAATGTCCTCAATTAATTATAAAACCTAGACACTTGGTAGCTGGTTAAACGGTGTATACTGCGATGTGATAACGCAACATTTTTCACAACACTACTCCTATCAGAAAGAGACTATTTTTATTGTGTTGTCACGATGTGGAAAGGAAGGAAACTGAAAAAATTGTGATAGCAGGAAATTTGGAAGGGAAGAAAGGCACAGAGAGACGAAGAGAGAAGATGTTGGACGCTCTGGCATTGTGGCATGGAACAATATCTACCTCAGAAATAAAAAAAAATAAAAAAGTAAAGATCCCTTTACACGCCCTTAGGCACATCGGGCATTTGGGAAAAGCACCAATATTTTTACAGACCAATCGGCACTCGGTGGGTAATGTCGTCAGCATTACCCCGGCTGTCTTTACTTTCCCAGGACAGCCCATTCTGGTACCCATTTGAGGCTGGGTCGACCTGCGACGTCCCATACCACTATAAAAATCCAGGCAGCCCACACAGGTTTCGATCGCGGTACGTTGGATTACGAGTCAGACTCACAAAGCCTTAGCCACGGAAGCCGCCTACCTCAGAAATGGCTGACAGTAAATAAGACATACGGATCTTGACATATGTGATTATCACTGCCACATAATACAGACTTTAAGAACAAGGAAAACTAAAGATTTACATATATACCAGCCTAATACTTACGTTTGTATGTGTCTGGGACTTCCTTCCACTGAATAGTCTTCAACTTAACCTGATTTCTTTTCTCTTTCTTCAGACGGTCCAGCCGTTGAGCTGTATTTGACCTTCTTCTGTGAGCACCTATAAACAGTTCGGATATCATTATCACAATTATTTACAAAATACACTTAAAATATACTAAGCTATACTAAACTTAACCATCTATATTCCTACAGTTGTTTACAATTATTACACAATCTATGCAATATTCATGATCATCATCAAGTGCTTTGCCAGCAGGCGTAGGCGTCCATGCATCTCCACAGATCTCTCGGTCTTTGATTTTCTGGATCAATTCCACTGATGATATACTTCTCCACACCACTGGCTTAAGCCATCTACCATCATTTCCCTTGGTCTGCCTTTGCCTCTTCTACCAGTGACCAGTGATCTTTCCAGTCATCACAATATTTTCCAGCGCTCCATTTCTCATCACATGACCAAAGAACTTTGTCTCCTTCTCATTGTTGTGATGAGGTGCTTTGTATGGTCTCCACGTTCACAGCAAGTCAAGCAGAAAATCCGTGCTACAAACGATCGCACAAGATACTTGGGGCAGAACGGTAAACGAGGGAGAGTCCGAGCTGGACTCGTGGTCAGTTGCTTACCAAAAGTCGAGGTAGACAGTTGTGGTATTAGGAGGTGTAGTTTCAATGTCTTGTTAATAATTCGTGGATGTTTGAATAATTGTTGGAACATTGTGGAAGAATGTGATAGAATAAACTGATAGAAATGTAAAAAAGAACTGAGAGCCATTTGTGTTATTAATCCTAGACGTTAGAGCAGTAGAAGTAGCTACGTTGCAGTAATCATATTATAAAGTCAAATCATGGCAGAAAGCAGATATGTTGCAAGCCAGGTTCGTTGCATTGTTGTATATAATGTTCTACTTTCATTAGCCATTTCCATACATCAATCACTGTTAGTCATTCTGGCAGTCCAAGGTATTCGCAACATTCTTACCAAGAACCACATCTCAGTTGCATCCAAACGCTTCTTAATTTGTTTGCTCATATTCCAAGATTAATTGCCATACAAAAGAACAGGCTCGATATAACATTTCTGTACACATTTAATAGCAACTGAGAAGCCTTAGTATTCAATATAAAAATTTTTTTAAAGTTAACACATGTAAAAAAAAAAAAAAATACATACATACAAACATATATATATATATATATATATATATATATATATATATATTATATATATATATATATATATATATATATATATTCCATTTAAAACCAGAAGAACTGAATAGGACATCCTTAAATTATTACAACAAGAGTTCACAAAAACATCACGCGAAAATCTCCACTGCTGCCAGTACAAAACCAAGATGAGAAAGAAGAAGGGTTGAATTTACAGAACAGCAACCAAGCAGCAACAGGGCACCAGCACAGCAATCAGCACGAGGCAAGCCAAGCACCAGCAACAGTCAGCTAAAACCCATAGATATCATCACTAAGAGAACTGGACCACACCAGACCCAAAAACCACAAGCACCACACCGCATCAAAGAAGCAAAAAACCAGAATATCAGGTGTGACTACACACCACAAATAAAAGAAAATCAAATAAGACAGCCAAGGAACCTTCTTTCATATAGCAGGCCTCCGGGCGGCTGAAAAAGGATCAAATTTTGAATTTTTGTTGGACGAATTGGAATTGGAATTGAAGAAGGGTTGAACATAGGATATGCTCCAACAGTGTGTTAACAACCATCTATCTTGTTACATGAGCTCCAACAAAACAATCAAAACTGATGTACATTAAATAGGAAGAATTCAAGACAGGCAAAGAAATGAGAGAAATGTTTAAACACCTGATGGTGTCAGCAGTTATAAAACCAAGAAGATGGTGGCATATTGGGCATATCCTGAGAAGTGTACATAGAATCACAAAACAGACACTGAAATGGATAACAAACAGACTGAGGAGGTGACAAAGTTTATCATAGAGTGTTTCTGAAACATTTTATTTTAACTTTCTAAATTCCCCTCTGCCCCTTTTTTTCCCCAGATAGATCCTTTAAAAATGTAGGAAACTGTCTTGTACCCATTTGGGTCATCTGGAGAGTCGCCCGGTTGAAATGAAACCTACCTCTGATGAGGAAGAATCTTGACCAGTGTTCTGATAGGTATATGCACTGATTACTTCACTACTATGGTTCCTGGACTAAGGGCTACAAACATTGTAGCAGCTGTCAACTCTTTCAGTCCCAAGGAACACATCATACGTTCATAGGCTCCAACCTAGAAGCCCAATGAATGAAAGGTGGGTGGATTATACGTTTTTCTTTACCACTTCTTGGACCTTTGATGCTAAACCCCCTGGGACTAAAAGCATTAAGTCACTGAGTAGCAGCTGGTTGAATGGTTCAGAATGCTGTCCTCTCATGCAGGAGACCCAGGTTCAAATCTTTGATAAGGTCCTGGATTTTTTCTGTTGGAGGCACAAATAAAATCCTAATCTGCTCAGTCCATGGTGACAGCATCAACCATGCTGCCCTAAATCCTTCAGCTCAAAGATCCCCCCCCCCCCCCCCCCCCCCACACACATCACAAAAAGTATTAAATACAGTCAGTAACTGGCAGTTAACTCTTTCTGTCTTAAGCAAGAAGCAAGTGCGATTAGTTACTCCCCACAATAAAAAAAAAAGGCCTAACAATGTTCATCAACAAATGCTGAAAATTTGCTTTAAGCATACAATGTAAAATTGGTTAGACATTTCAACATGCAGCACTGTTTGTCTGCCTCTTTGGAAGTCATGTGTTCACATCTCTTACATTGTGCTTAAGGCCTCCCTGGACCATCTGCTACACAATCATCTGGTACTGTTTGTTTTCTGACACCTTTTTTAACGACTGAAGTTAGCTGCAAATCCTTTACAGAACATTGCAGAACCGACCACAGCATATTTTTGCTGTGTGGTTTTTTGATGCAAATTTAACGTTCAGTAGTTTGCCACTGCTTTCTGAATGGTCAGGTCTCGGTGCCATTGTTGAAACCAACATCAGACAAATCATCCGCAGCTTGGATCGAACCGGGCACCCCAGCATGATGACATTATTTATATCTTTTTTTTGTATTTAAACATTTATACTACTAAATTACCAATATTATTTTCTGAAAGACCCCACGTAAAAAAACCAAAAACCTACCAAAGTCCATATCTGGGTGTATATCCATTGATCCCTTGAGTTCGCTATCAGAAGGACAGTCACTGTTGCTGTCACTCCGGCTGTTGAAATTGCTTCTGTTGTACCTGTCAAATATATTCCATTACAAGAAGTATTAACTCTTTGAGTCCCAAGGATTGCATCATATGTTCATAGGTTCAGATCTCTTTTTACTACCCCTTGGGCCTTGGATGCTAAACACTCTGGGACTCAAAGAGTTAAACACAAGATAAAATGTGACTAGAAAGCTGAACGGAGGGAATGGAAAAGATGGCACAAATACAGCCGAATAGTTTTGACCAGAGTCTTTATCAATAAAGTTTTAAATATAACACAAAAGTGTGACTATAAAACTTAATGGACAAGATAACAGAGATTGTTAACAACTAAAGTCAACATAAAGAACAAAAGAATATGTAATTATACAATAAACTGAGACCCAGGTTCAAATTCTCAGTAAGGTCACAGATTTTCTTCTGCTGGGGGGAAGAAAAAATCCTAGCCTGCACAGTCCGTGGTGACAGCACTAGCCATGCGACCCTTAATCCTCAGGCTCAAGGAAACCAACCTGCCTACCCAGCAAAAGTCCTGCACAGTCCGTGGTGACAGCACTAGCCATGCGACCCTTAATCTTAGGCTCAAGGAAACCAACCTGCCTACCCAGCAAAAGTCATAATTACAGGTAGAAAATATTTCCAGGTACGTGTATCACATAGAGATTCAAACAACAAGTCTAGACTCATCAGAATGAAGAAGTCTTATGTGCGACACAGTACTAGCCACATATTCATATAAACCAATCAGCACTTAATGAGTGATGTTTTCAACTTAAACTTCCCAAATATTTTGTGCACTAAATTAATTGCACTAATTTTAGAGCTGCTTTCTGCGGCTCTGGGGTTATGAGCTTAATTTTGTACCTCCGAAATACCAGGTTCGATTTAGCTACAATTTGGCAGCAGATCACTTTGAACTAATTCTGACAATGACATGAGCATACACAGTTAAAAAAAATGATGGCAAACTACTAAAAACAAAACTGCTTCGTAAAACCATAAATAACCAATGATAACTGCATGGGGTTAGGGTGTGATGTCACCTAAAGGATATGCAACAAATTTGTTGATTTAAAAAACAATAACAAAATATGTTAGGTTGGGTCAATCCGTGAGTCCAAGATGACATTCAAAATCAATTGCTATGGGAATTTAGACTGATGACCACTGTCCTGCAGACCAGAATGATAGACAGTAATGTCTGCGGCGCCCATGTTAAATAAAAGCAACGTGGGCACATAGCTTTTCATTCTGCACAACTAAAAAACAAACAGGAAAATCTTTTAAAGCTACAGGATTTAAAGAATCAGAATACAACATTGTGGATTTACATCTTTATTGAATGGATCTCTAGACATTAGAGTTATTTGCACCTTTGCAAATTCTAGAACACATACAGCAAGACTGCTCAGAATTTGCCAGGGCAGACAATGGAAATCCAATTTAAATAAACAGGACAGCTTGAGGTGGCCTGGTGAAGACCACAAGCCTGCATCTGGACCACTGGTTTGAACAGATGCAGAACACATTTTGGCTGCTAATAAATAAGAATATGAAGTGGACAAGCAAAACAATTCTTTCCAATGAGTTCAATCTTTTTTCAGAGAAGTAGCATAGGAAGCGAAAGAGAGGAAACTTCTTTCAAAGGGACTAAGCCACGAATGAAAACAGGAATATATTGTTAAAACTGGCAAGATTAATGAAAAAAAGGAAACAGAAAGCAAAGACAGAAACTATAGTGGCAGTACTTCTTTGCCTTCTTTTTTTCACATTCACCAGGTGTAAACTTGGGCACAAAGTTCTGTTTGTTCATCGACTTCGACTGAAGTGTAAAGATGACTTGACCCCTTCACAATAGATATCTAACTTTTACAATTAATTATTCTAAAAAATAGACGAAACACAGCATACACATGTGTTTTACTTAATCTTCTTCTTCTGCAAACTGGCCGGCTGTAAACTCTGACGCAAAGTTATAGCTGTTCATCCACTTCCGGACTTGAGGTCTTGTTCCAGAACTTGAGGTTTAACTTGCCCATCCATTTTACAGACCTGGCTTAGTTGTGTCCAGACTGTTAGTTCCTCATCTCTCAGGCAGATGCACTCTGACTTCAAGGGAAACGCATCTAATTAATTGCCTTTTATGACATGCCTGTGAAGGGGTAGTGTGTCTTTTCATTTTCCCCTCTAGAATGGGGACCCTGAACCCACTTTGGGAGTAGTGGCAGTAGTGGTAATAAAAAACATACATTCTTCTTTTGTGGTCACCAGAAGAAGCATGTTAGCACATTGTGGTTTACAGTTAGGCTGTGATATTTGCACCAATTTCAACAAACCCTTAATTATTCGCTTTTATGAAATGCTTACTGGTTAGTGAGGACTGTCATCACAGCACTTTGGATAGATCCATAGATGCTCTGATCTTGTCCTCAGTATCTCCACAAGAGTAAAATGACTGATCAAGTCTTTTCTGTGTTGATTAATCAGACTCAATGTATGGGTTCTGGGGCCTGGTTGGGGAACAACAAGAACAGACCTACTGCCTTCCCAATAAGCATATAAGAGTCAACTAAATGTGGGTATTCTATGAAGTCAAAGTACATCTGCCTGAGAGAAAACTAACCAAAAATCTAAATACAAATAAGCCAGATATGTAAAACGGATGTGCACACACACACAGCAGTCCGGTTGTGGGACAAGACTCAAGTCCAGAGGTGGACAAATAACCAGAACTTTCCTCTGGAGTTTACAGCCAGGGAACAGGGAAAAAAGAAGAAATGAAGATTAATCAGACGTCTTGTGCTCTTGGTGGATTGTTCATGTCTAGCTGCTCCAAGTTGCATGTCCACCAACCTGGACAAGGATATGACAAGGAGCAGTGGGTCTAGTTATCTCAATACCCTCCCCCAAAAATGGCACACTGGAACCCACACTGAGAATATACATTGCTCAACAACAGCTACGACATGGACCCTGGAACCCACACTGGGTATATACATTGCTCAACAACAGCTACAACCTGGACCCTGGAACCCACACTGGGTATAAACATTGCTCAACAACAGTTACAACATGGACCCTGGAACCCACACAGGGTATATACATTGCTCAACAACAGTTACAACATGGACCCTGGAACCCACACAGGGTATATACATTGCTCAACAACAGCTACGACATGGACCCTGGAACCCACACTGGGTATATACATTGCTCAACAACAGTTACAACTTGGACCCTGGAACCCACACTGGGTATATACATTGCTCAACAACAGTTACAACTTGGACCCTGGAACCCACACAGGGTATATACATTGCTCAACAACAGTTACAACATGGACCCTGGAACCCACACAGGGTATATACATTGCTCAACAACAGTTACGACATGGACCCTGGAACCCACACAGGGTATATACATTGCTCAACAACAGTTACAACCTGGACCCTGGAACTCACACTGGGTATATATATTGCTCAACAACAGCTACGACATGGACCCTGGAACCCACACAGGGTATATATATTGCTCAACAACAGCTACGACATGGACCCTGGAACCCACACTGGGTATATACATTGCTCAACAACAGCTACGACATGTCCTACATCTTACCTATTGTTACCATCCTGCTTCAGCTCATTATCATCCTGTATTCGACATTCGGTGATCACCCACTCTGACATGCTCGTATCGTCACTCGTCACAAAAGAATTCCTGATGTGACTAATGAGGAAGTCAACATTATCCATCATCGCCATTTTTGCAGCTATTAGGCCGGTCAGTCAATGGAATGCAAGGCGAATGTTTCTTCCCTCATATCATAACCACAAAATATCGAGTTTTCTGTCCAGCATTATTAGATACTTGTTGTGACAGTCAGAAGTATTAATTCCTTTCCGTCATTCCTCTTCTACCTTGGAATGCAGACTTGTTTCACACACTGGAAAAAGGTCTGTGCAGAAGAAAAAAACACACAAGATATTTGAGTTCAGGAATGTTATGTTATCACAATCGACGTCTTTGCACACTGGGCATCCCTGTGCGTGCTCAGTCCTCCAAAGCAGCAGCCACTTCAAGGTATCTCTACTTATTGTTCCCATGAGGAGTTGGTTATAGTATCTCCTGTCTTCACCTCTAAGATGGCACAGTCATGCTTCACCAAGTTTAACTTCTCGGTAACAAAGTCGTGTTAGCGTCAGAGATTCGCTATTATCTCCCAAACCTAATCCGTACGGTATTGATATATCAGCTCTGTTCATGCTTTTTCCCATTTGCATTGGTGCATTACTTGCCAGCTGGTCAGCTCTTTCATTACCATTTACTCCTGCGTGCCCAGGTGTGTAGATCCAGATGATGGAGGTTAACTGAGTTCAGGAAGTTGCCTTTAGCGCATGTAAAACCCTATCCATAAATTAAGAAAAAATAAAATGGTTTGGCCATCTAGTGAGAATGCAGCCAGACCAAGCTACATATGAGACTTTTTACAGTAGAACTTCTGGAAGGAAAGCAAAAGAAATAAAAGAAAGAGAAGGATAAATGGTGTAGTTGAAACCTACAAAAAGATGAACAAATCTATCACCCAAGCCACCTGAGAAGTACAACACAAATAAAGAAAACCATGACACTGGACTACAACCTGGTATCATTGAGACGACAAAACCATGACAGTGGGCTGCAGCCTGGTATCAGTGAGATGACAAAATCCCAACACTGGGCTACAGCCTGGTATCAGTGAGACGACAAAACCATGACACTGGGCTACAGCCTGGTATCAGGGAGATGACAAAACCATGACACTGGGCTACAGCCTGGTATCAGTGAAATGACAAAACCATGACACTGGGCTACAGCCTGGTATCAGTGAGAAGACAAAACCACAACACTGGGCTATAGCCTGGTATCAGTTAGACGACAAAACCACAACATTGGGCTATAGCCTGGTATCAGTAAGACGACAAAACCATGACACTGGGCTACAGCCTGGTATCAGTGAGAAGACAAAACCACAACACTGGGCTATAGCC